GAGGAGAGAGAAAGAGATGAGAGAGGAGAGACAGATGAGAGAGAGAGACAGAAGAGAGAGAAGAGAGAGAGAGAGAGAGAGAGAGAGAGAGAGAGAGAGGAGAGAGAGAGAGAGAGAGAGAGAAGAGAGAGAGAGAGAGAGAGAGAGAGAGACGAGGAGAGAGAGAGAGAGAGAGAGAGAGAGACGAGAGAGGAAGAGAGAGAGGAGAGAGAGAGAGAGAGAGAGAGAGAGAGAGAGAGAGAGAGAGAGAGAGAGAGAATATCAAATATGGAAATAGAGAAGCTATGTACCTCTAACTGTTCCCTAGTATATGAAGCCTTAACTGGTGAAGGTGGTGTAGCAGCAGTGATCAGACGTTGAATCAACAGAATCTGGAATGGATAATATATGTACACATCTGTAGATTTTCTCTTTTCATAGTTGTTTATATTTTCATGTCACTCACAGTCCTTAAGAAAAAAAAAAAAAATGTAAAAACTGAATTATTCATCATTTCAAGTCATTTTTAATGCATTCTACAAGGCAGCATTAATCTTTCCAGATGCATTTAAGTTAGACAGCTTTTATAAGGAAATAAGCATAATATATTCAAAGCAAAGACCTAGAAAGAAATAGGTGAATTTACATTTCAGTTTTTCCATTTGTACTATGACTAATGTGGTACTTCAAACCTTACTGTACACTGGTATTTTCATACTAGATAATCAGAAATTATTCATCCATTCCTGTTTGTTATTGCACTCGGCTTTAGACTAGAAAGCTGTGCATTGTATGTCACTTTATTATAAGTAGTCAACTTAAGATGATGATGAAAGATGATGATTAATAAAAGCTGATGACTAATGTCTGATGAATAATTAATGACCAATGGCACTGATGCTGATATCGATGACTGATAATCAGATAAGAGAGATAATAATGATAATGATAATAATGACTGATGATGACTAATGATAACTTATAATGATGATCAAGAACAATCATGATGTTGACAGTGACTACTATGACAATGTTGATGTAGAAATCGGTGATAAGAGTAACAGTACTACTGTGTTACAATAGCTAATCATAAAATTCTGATATATTAATAATATATAGAATAACATGATCTATAACCACATCATTACCCTTCAACTGCCCAATTACTTTTTTTTAAATAGCTATTCCTTCATTAGTTTACTGTGTAATGTTACATCACATATGTAATTAGTAAAGGATGTGATTGTAGTTTATTTTTGCATTTCATCTTCAACTAATGTCACCATTTCTCAATACATATGAACTTCGTTCACTGTTAATCAATAGGATAACATGTATGAATGATAACATCACAATTTCATTAAAGCAGATTCGCTGCTTTTTAAATGCCTGTCATCAATCCCTTAAGTCTGATTAGCCGCAGGTGCAGTCTTAGAAACACACACACACACACACACAAAAATAGCTACAATAGAGCAGAAGCTCTCAAAAATGGGCATGCTATTTTCCCACATTTTTTTTCATTGACAATGAAGCATGAGGCAGTAATTCTGGTACTTTTAGTAAGTTTCTTCCTGTTACACTCACTGAATCCTCCTCTAGCCCAACCCTTTTGTGCCCCTTCATCTCACAGAGCCAATCATATAAGGGGGACCTAGTTTTGTTCCTGCCTTTTTTCTTCTTGCAAATGAATATAGCATTAAAGTAAGAACTATAAAATAAAAATTCTTGTAATGTATAGCATAGTAAGTATAAAATTAAAAGTATCAAAATACATTGCATGTATAACCCAAAATCTTTGCATTCCCCCTCCCCCCCCCCCATTTCTTCTTTTCCCCTAGTCTCTCTGAATCGTATGAGTGCCTCCTATCATTGGTCATGCCTCTGTGAATTAACATAGTAGGTATGAAATAACAATTCATGTGTCTTGTACCCCTCCAACAATATTACATTTCATTTTTTCATGCTGTGGTTCACTTATCTTTTTTCATGCACAAATAGATATATGTCATTATGATTTCTTTCTCTCTCTCTCACTCTCTCTCTTCTATCTAATGCTATCACTATTCCTTTCAGTTGCCCTATCTCTCTTTTTCTCACTTCCCCTATCTCTCTTTCTCTCACTCCCCCTTAACTTCTCTCCCTCTCTTTCCTTTCACTCTCCATCCCTCCCTTTCCTTTCACTCTCCATCCCTCCCTTCCTCTCACTCCCCCTTTAACTATCCCTCCCTCTCTTCCTCTCACTCTCCATCCCTCTCTTCCTCTCACTCTCCATCCCTCTTTTCTCTCACTCTCCCTCCCTCTCTTCCTCTCACTCTCCCTCTTTCTCTTCCTCTCACTCTCCCTCTTTCTCTTCCTCTCACTCTCCATCCCTCTCTTCCTCTCACTCTCCCTCCCTCTCTTCCTCTCACTCTCCCTCACTCTCTTCCTCTCACTCTCCCTCTTTCTCTTCCTCTCACTCTCCATCCCTCTCTTCCTCTCACTCTCCCTCCCTCTCTTCCTCTCACTCTCCCTCACTCTCTTCCTCTCACTCTGTTCTTCCTTCTTTTGCTCTCTCCCCCCCTTCCCTCTCTTATAACTCAAAATTCAGCATATACATGTGTTTTTTCATTATACTTTTATCATATATGAAAATAACACTGGATTTATATTCTATACTGTTTAGGCTGAAGCAAGGCACCAAGCTGACAGGGACAGGCACTTGCAACTGCCAAAGTTTGCAATAAAGCCTTCATTCCACATACACAGTTCTGTACTGAATAAACTGCCACAGTATTCACTGCCTTATCATTTTCTTAAGATGCATTTCATTATGAACCTTCCTGCAATTTTCATGGACTTTCTCTGACCTCTAATTACCCAGAATATTTACAAAATATTATTTACAAGACCTACAATCAAAGCAATGTTGCCTATTCATATTTTCTTTCATCACAACAAAACCTACAATCAAAGCAAAGTTACCTATTAATATTTTTTCATCATAATTGCTAAAAAGATCAAGATGATCGATCTAAAGACTGTTTAACATGCATTTAAAGAACACATACTATAAGCAGATTTTACAAACTTTAATGACACTGACTTTCATTATCACAACATATTACATCATCCTTGTGCACTGATTCAAACAGCAGAAGTTATCATTTCCACATCATTCATTCAGCCACTGTGCACTTCAAGCAGTTATACATTAATGCAGAGCTGAGATAAATTTGGCTTATCTATCACTGAAGACGAAAATAGCTTTCAGATAGTTCTTGAAGACCTTTCTTATTACAGACGGTACACATTTCATTGACATCCCAAAGAGATTTTTAGTTGGAAGATCCTCAATGATATGGGGAGATATCTGTAGATGGACATTAATAATCTCAAATTTCATCCAAAAAGCACGAAGGAAATCTAGGTCATCAGTGGCATAGCTCAAAACATTCCTGGTGTTGCATTTTGGAGTTTGTTGCAGAACATACCCATGGCCTCCTTATGTACCACTGGAAGGAGTTTTCAGACGAGCCGCTGCTACTAACTTCCATGAAGTCCCATGGGGAGAACAAGTCCACTGATGTTGGGTCACCTTCTCCAAGTGCCACATTCTATACAGAGGCAGTAATCATACTTTACAACACCACTAACACTCATCTGAACGACCTAGCTCCATGAGAGTCATCCAACAAGGGTATTCAGCCTTTCATCTCATGTCATGGAATTCAGCCCTTTCTTAAAAATGACTGCTGTGTTTTGTCAAGGCACTTTTAACTAGTGCTCAAGCAGCATAGTCTCTATTAATGTGGCTCTTTTTCATTAAATTCCAATGGTATTTCTTTTCATTTGTTTTCTTCACTTTTTGCTACAGTGGCTAGCATATTAGATAGATAAGTCTTACACATAATAGTAGACATGAAAACAAAACTTAATTCATTTTCTACAGGATTTTAAGTTGCACCATTATAAACTGTCATACACTATTGGTCACTTCTACTGACAAAATTTTCCCTATCTATATCTACCTACCTATTATTTAAACCATTGGATCCAGGAGAACTGAATGATTTGTCATGAAAAAATTTGGTCATAAGATGAGTGACAGGAAAGTCTTGTCATGGGAAATTGTTACCAAGTGTTGGGTGATGGAGATATCTCCACTCAGTTGATCTCTCCTGGAGTGAGAATGACTTTGCAAGCCTTCAGTGAGGGGCTCATTTATAAGCTCCAGCAGGGCTTAAACCAGTCCAAAAGGTAAAGTTTACCATCTGTCAACTATGCCTGAGAAAGGGCCTTCTCCAGGCAGGACTTTATATCCATACACAAGAACCTATTTTTATCCACTATTACTGGCAGTGCTGGGTGTGTTACATAAAACTGAATAATACACATATATAAAAAATAACACATTGTTACTTATTGATACTGTTACTGAGTGTAAACTTGCTGGAGTCTGCTCAACTACGATAGTCCATCATCTTGATACAGTATGACTAAGGGCAAATACAGATTTTGGAAAATGGCAAGACAGCAAAAATGCATCTGCAGAAAAGTGCTAATAGCAGTCCAAAAAGTAGGTAACGAGTCTTAATCCTGGATCCAACAGGTTAATATATGCTTTATTCATATAACTGAGTCAATTTTTTTACAAATAATTGTATTAGTATTTTCTTAGCACAAGTTGAGTGTCCCATTTCATTTTGTTATGTTCCTTTCATTTAATTTGTACAGGAAAAATACAAAAATACAGTGCACTATGACTGAAACTGAAGATAATGGCCTATGCAATAGTATAAACCAAAAGAGGGTTCCTATTACCTAGTTTTAGAAACTATAAAACATGAGAGCCACAATGGCTTCCCTGAACCTGATATACAGATGCCACAATAATTTCTTTCTGTACTAACCATTTACCTGGTGCTAGATTTTCTCTCATTATAGCTATCATAAAGACAACCAACCACATATGCACTAACAAAATAGCAACAAAGGCAGCCCACAAACCTCTGAGCTCTGACTGGTATCTTCTCCTGCATCAA